CTTGAGGCTTTCTACTCTGGTCTGACTCTCCATATTTCCTGTCTTCCAGTTTCGGGGATAGTGGCTTGTCCAGTAACCTCACTTCTCGGATGAGTCAATGAAGACTTGTTGATTTTTCAACTTGTTCAGCTTTTTATTTCTTCTTAGGACAAAGTAATGACTTCTAAGTTTGACATGCTAGACTGAAAACTGGAAGTATCTGCACTGTTTAATACATTTATTAAATTCAAGTCTAATAATTCATGTAGGTTATCTGTCAATGTTCACAAGCAGTATTTATTGAGCACCAGTTGGCAAGACCCTTTGCCAGGTGAACCTCTGCTTTCTCTGGAATTAGCTAAGAAAATCACTCTGGCATCGCATGCAGTTCTCCAGCCTCTGAGTCATCACCTTTGCTAGGAATCAGCCCGGACTTTTTCCCCCCATGAAATTTGCTAGGGCATATTCTTTCTTTGAAAACTGCTAACAATTCACCTTCCCCCTGTCACCTCTCAAACTTACTCCTTTAGCTTCAATCATTCCATTTCCCATGTCCGTTTTCACTGAGTACTTCTGTAGGCATTATGAAGAGGTTCAAGGCATTTGGAAAAAGTGCCACCTAAGAGCCAAGTGGCTTTTCAGGCCAGCTCTGTCACTAACTGTTTGTGTGAGCTTGGCTTAGTTACTTCACCTCCGGGGCCTCAGCCTCTGACATCTGCGTGGTCCTCCATTTATTACTCTATTGGCTTCTGACTCTTCCTGTACTTTCAAGAGTTCTTGAGTAGTGGGACCAGCAGTTAGCGTAATGACTATGTCACTGGACTCCCATGTAGTCGACCGCGGTTCGAGTCCTGGATCCAGTGGCTTAAACTCACGCCGGGCGCGTGTGCGTGCGAGCCCAAGATCCTGAGATGAGAATGGAGGGGAAGGGATTGTGGCATGGCCATCCCTCCTGGAGGGTGATTTCTCCCTTTCTATCTCTCTGTCTCTGTCTTTCTGGTGAGCGCACGCACCCTATAGCAAAAACCTCTCCAAAAAAAAGAAAAAAAAAGAGTTCTTGAGTAGAGAGACCCAGTCTTTGAAAGATTAAATACACTTTATTTGTTGACTGGTGAGTGTAGCACTCATTGCATTTTTATCATAAACTAATAAAATCATTCTTGTGCCTCTTGGTTTACAAGGCTATGACAGGTGCCTTTTATTATAAATTAGCCTCTGAATTCTCAAACCTAACATAAATCAACCTAAATAATGTCAGGACATTATTTTTTCCACTCTGCACACACCTCTAACCTCATGCTAATACACTGTGCTGTAGTCTGTTTGTTTTAACTCAAGTCCACCCCCTATACTTAGGTAACTTTATTTTTTTTAAATCTCCTGTATGTTTTTAGCTACTGCTTTTGTTTTTTTTTTGTTTTGTTTAGCAGTGGCTGGATCAATAAATGACCACTGCATGATAACAGTAGAGGTGAACTGTAAAATGTGAAATGTTATTTTGAGAATTTGTTACCAAACCTAAATAAGGAACCCAGAATGGGACCATAACATTCATGAAGTTTACAACCAAAGCACTCATCTGCAGTCTCCTTGAAGATGTAAGGTATTCTGGTATATTACATTTTAAAGACATACTAAACATCGGTCTGATGCCAATTCCCTCCTGCAGGATTTAACGTTACCAATTCAATACCATGAGAACTCTCTATGTGTGTGTGAATATATAGTACTTACCAATTTAAGAAAAATATGAATAGAAAAACAAAAGGAAAGAAAAGTCACTGTAACCTCATGATGCAGAGGTGATTTCTATCGACATTTCCATGTATATTCCACCTGTTTTTACTGTGCAAAAGTGAGTACTCGTATAAATATATGCTTAAAATGCCATCATCCCATATGTACTTTTGAAAGTCTTCTTTTTCACTTATGATGTGAATCTCTCCATGTCAATAAAAGTATAAGTAAAACATCATTTTAAGGCTGGTGTGGGATTCAGGCAGGTGCGCGTCATCGTGCGGTTAACCAGTTCATTTTCTATTATTTGACATTTAGATTGTTTATAGCATTTCACTATTTGAAACACTTTCTCAATACACATCTTTGTACTTACCTTTTTAAGCACTTACATGCTGAAAATACATTTCTAATAATAAAATTTGGGGTCAAAATATATGTTTATATTTAAAGTTTGCTACTTATTGACAAATTGCTCTCCAGAAAATTGCACCAATTTACACACTCATCAGAGTGTACAAGCTTTCCCATACCTTTGCCCACATGGGTGTGTGAATTCTATTTACACTTTTCAGTCTGATTTTTTTTTTTTCAAAATTTGTGTCTCATGATTGCTAGTTAGGCTAAGTGTGTTTCCATATCTTTTTAATTTTTTGATACTTTTAGAGAGTTTTTTTTTTTTTTTTTTTTTTTGCTACAGGGCATGTGTGCTCATCAGAGAGACAGAGAGAGGCAGAGAGACAGAAAGTGAGAAATCATCTTCCAGAGGGGCTAGCCACTGTGCAATCTCTTCTCCATTCTCCTCTCAGGATCTTGGGCATGCACACACATGTGCCCTGCATGAGTTTGAAGCCAGGTCCAAGACTTGAACCTCATTCGACTACGTAGGAGTCCAGCGATGTAACGGTTACACAATCTGCTGGTCCCATGTTTTCATATCTTTATTGCACCTTTTATATTTATTTTCTGAGTTGCTTGTCCACATCCCCTGATGCCTTAAGTGTCTGAAAAAAATTATATAGGTATAGCCATATATATAGAGATAACCCTCTTTCTGCTAAAACTGTAATAAGTATTTTTTCTTAAATTGCTATTTATGTTTTAAATCTTCACTTACTATGCTTTTAAAATTTTATTTTCTTATGCATAAATTAGAAGAGTATTTTATTTTTTTTCCTGTACGTAATTCATTTTTTTCTTACAAGGTCTCTGTTTTCAGAGCCTTTCCTAACAGGAGGCAGAGATTGCCAGTTGCCTGAAAACACCTTCTCATCTTCTTTAGCAAGAGAATAACGCTGCCTGAAATACGTTACTGAGCCTCCTTTGCAACTGGGTGTGGCCAGGTGACAGTTGAGGGCCAAGGAACTTGAGCATTGTATGACTTTAAGCAAAGCTCCTCAAGAGTGAAGGCTGGGTACCAGCAGTTAGCATAATGTCTATGTCGCTGGACTCCCAAGTAGTCAATCGTGGTTCGAGTCCCGGACCTGGTGGCTTAAACTCACTCTGGGCACATGTGCATGTGTGCCCAAGATCCCGAGAGGAGAGTGGAGGAGAAGGGATTGTGGCATGGCCATCCCCTTTGGGGGGTGATTTCTTGCTTTCTATCTCTCTGTCTGTCTGGCGAGCGCACGCGCCCTATAGCAAAAACCTCTCCAAAAGAAAAAACAAAAAAAAGAGTGAAGGCTGAGCCTTTCTTGCTTCTTGTCAGCTGCCTGGAAGGAATCAGCTAGAGCTCTGTAGCCATCTTGGACCATTTCCATCTTGAGGATGAAAGCCAAGCCTGGCAGAGGCAAAGGAAGAAGAGCCGCCTAGAGTTCTGATGATGTAACAAAGCTGTCACTCTGGCCCTAGGCTCTTCACCTCTGAACTTTCATGTGAAAGAATAAATAAGTGGCTAGAGTTAGGTCTTTGGTAACAGCAACTCTAACTCTAAAGAGTCATTCTTTAACCTATCTGCCAACTCAAGGTTATACCAATTTTACTGGTATTTTCTTCTAGTGTGTTCATCTACTATATTACCTCTGTTTTCAGATATATGACAAAAGATATATAACCAATATGTAGCACTGTATATACAATAATAATGTTTTGGAAGAAACTTCTTTAAGATAATGATGGCTAGACCCACATGTAGATGAAATTGCTACAGTGTATTTTAAGGAAGGATCTAACTGTAGAGTTTTATTCTATTTAGACAATTTTTTGAAGTTAGGCCAATGATCTTGACGTGGATTCCTTTTATAATATAGATCTTGAGAAACAGCATTTATATCCATTTTAATGACTAATCACAAGCTTTTATCCTGAGAAGTTAATTGTCAAAGGATATGACTAAAAAATGTGCAATTCTACATCCAGTTGAGTTTTTCAATGAAGATATTGGATACATATATAAATTTGTGTGAAAAAGAGCTGTATGATAGCAAAATTTTTCTATAGTTTCATTACAGTAAGAATTTCATTTTAATATGATCAGTTTTAAGATATGTTTTGGCTATAGTATAAAATATTTTTCCTAGACTATAATAGCACTTATTCCTATTTTTAAAAAAATTACAAGAGGGCATGTGTATTCATCAGAGAGAGACTCAGAGAGAGGGAAAGAATATCCCCCAATGGGATGTGGTCATGCTGCAATCCCTCTCTTCCATTTCTCTTTTCTATTGGGATTTTAGTCACTCGTGTACACATGCCTAGTATGTTTCTCCAGTTGCCAGGACTGGAATTAGATCATGTAGGATCCAGCTCAATTAGCCACTAGGCTATATGGCAATTCTTACTTCTGTGAGGTCAGCAGGTAGCATGGTGGTTAAGGCACTGGACTCCTTCATGGCCAACCATAGTTCAAGTCCTGGACCTGGCAGCTTGCTTTCTTGCTTTCTTTCTCTCTGGTGAGTGTACATGCCCTATAGCAAATTAAAAATGAATAATAAATAAAACTAAATAAATCTTTAAAAAAATTAGTTAAGAATTACTGTTCAATGTAATGTAATTAACATTTCCTTAACATCTGCTAAGTACCTGCTATGTATTTAATCTAATAATGACTTGCGAGACAATAATGTAATCCTTATTTTAGAGAGGAGAAAATTGAAGCTCACAGGTGTTAATTCACTTATGCAAGACCTTCTATAGATTGATTGGAAAAGACAGCTTCTGAAAGCTGTTGGCTTCAAAGTCCAAGCTTCTGCTACTCATGTTAGGCCCTGGGCTGGGCCTGCAGGAGATAAGAGATGACTTAGACTGTTTCCCAAAGGCAATGTTGAAGAAAAGTTGGTACTTACCTGCCCCACACAGGTCTGTTATGTTAATACGAGTGGGCAGGGAGCTGCCTTTTGAGTTGGCTGCAGACACAGACACAGCCCAATTCCCAGTTCTGGGAATGACCCAGGTCCAGGAGGTGTGTGCTGTGATGTTCTGTAGTATAGTTTTCCCCCCTGTCACTTCCTGCAACGTCACCCGGTAGTGGAGAATTTTTCCTCTTGCCTCTGACACACTCAGATTCTGCAACAAAACACATCTACTTACTCTTTACTCTCAACAAGATCTCTGGATGCTCTGTGCTTGGACCTCATGACCCTCTGCCACAGGCAGTTATGTCTGAGTGACTTTTTTGTTTACTTCTTCTCATCTTCTTTATTACATACTTTTATCCAACAACCTCTGACCCCACCAACCACCATAAAAAAAAGTCAGTTAACAGAAAGTTCTTTAATTTAAAAAAAAAAATTGCTTTTAAATAATTATTTATTGGTGCCAGTAGGTGGAGAGGTGGTTAAGGTGTTGGACTCTCATATGGCTGATGACAGTTTGAGTTCCAAACCTGTTGGCTTACTTTCTCTTTCTCTCTCTCTCTGTGTTTCTCTCTCTGCTAAGCACATGTGCCTTATAGCAAATTTAAAAATAGTAATAACAGATAAAATTAAATGAATAAATAATTTTAAGAAGTACTTATTTAATTATTACTATTTTCATTTGTTATAGGGCAAGTACTCTCACTAGAGGGAGAAAGAAAGTGAGAAAGCAAGTCACCAGGTCCAGGACTTGAACTGTGGTTAGCCATGTGGGAGTCCAGCGCTTTAACCACCATGCACCTGCTGGCCCCTCAGTTAAAATTTTTTAAAGATAATTTTTGGAAATGGATCTTTCTTTGTTCAAAATAAAATTTACTAATAGTAGACAACTCGATCACATACAATGTAACAAATGTGAATCTGAACTCAGAAGATCTGGATTTGAGTTCCATTTCTACCAATCACACAGACCCAGGGCAAGGCACTCAGCCTCTCTGGGCCTCTATTCCTAAAGTTGTGAAACATGCATGCGTATAACTTTTTATATAGAAAGCGCAATGCTGCTCAAGACATCAAAACGAGATTTACAAGAGTCAAACCACTAAAAATCTATACTTAGTGAGCTGAATTAGCCATCTGTGCAAGGAAACTGAGACACTGTTCATAAATGTGTGACCAACAAGTTTTGGAACTGCAAAAATTCCAATTGAGATAATTTGGGAGCAGTCCCAGAAAGTAAGCAGAAAACTAATTATTTATATTGTAACTCTGTTTGGACAAGGACCATGGGAAACAGAAGCAGAGAAAATGGAGTTTTCAAGTCTAGTATTGGCAGTACCCACTCGTGCTTGATGCAGGGAGAAGAAGACTTGGCACACTAGATTTAAGTACTAACAGCTTTCTTGGCAAGATTACCCCTTCCATGGGCAGCAGTCGGAGGCCTCCAGCTGCCTTTGCTGAAAGACACACCTTAGGGTGGGCGGATGCCCCTTTCTCTGGTTCCCTGCTCACCAAGAATCTTCTATAGAGAGTAATTGGGCTTCCTCTGTAGTTTATCTGTCAGGAAAGGCTGAGCTAATATGAACATCTGGTTCATTTAAAATTTGTATTTTTCCTTTTAAGTGAATAAATTGGCCTTCTGATTATAATTTGGCTTCTGAAACAATTAGCATACTGGGAGAAAATGTTCCATTCTGCTGACTCAAGCCTTCTGGTTGGCCCAACAGCTGCATTTCTCGCTGTAAATGAATCCACAAGCCTCACTTTTTTGCAGTTCAATACCTGGGAATTTCATCAATACAGGTTCATTTTGGAGAACCGTCTGGATCCACAAAGCCCAAGACTAGATTTTAAACCACAGGCGACGTACCCGGTGAATGCCCTGTTGCTGGGGGCCCATTCTGGTGGACATTCAGCCTTTTCCTAACTAGCATTTCAAATGTCCATTACGGATGATCTCCTAGGGCTATTGTGTGGACAAGGATAAGCAAATGTGGGCCAGCCACATAGCATTACAGGTAAAGTACTGCACAGAGGAAGCGGGATCGCATGTGGCTGACCAAGGTTCAAGTCCCAGTGTTGGCACATGCCCAGACCCTGACAGAATGAAGAATTGGAGCACAAACAATTGTGGTGTGACTATCCCCCATTGAAGTGTTTTCTCTTCCCTTCCCGTAGTTTAGAGTGGAAAATATCAGCAAAAAAGTGGGAATGGGGTAGAAGTAGGTGGAGCAGTTTAAATATAGTATACTATGGGTTATGCATATACAATGTCCACTTCAAGTTTGGGGATAAAGTTATCCTTTCTGAGGCCATTGGTCTTTTTAACCAAATTGGAAAATGGGCCTAACTCATGCAACAGAGTCTATATTGACTCAAAAATGTAATTAGCTAATAAGAAAACAGGTATTTAGCCAGATGGGCACCTAGACTTCTGAAGCAAAAACGGTATAATTAGTTTGGTTTTTGAAGAGTAGAAACATAAAGTTTGTAAACAGTGTATGTAGTCTACCATTGCTGGATTATGCCTGGCCCTGATGAAAGGAATAGAACCAAAGTGGAAGAGATTCTAGATTCAATATTTTGTTTTACAAAGGGGAAGCAGGGGCCCAAGGACCTACGGGGACTTGCTCAAGATCACTCAATGGATGGATAGACGCCGAAGAGTGGGATCCAGAGCTCTCTACTTCTAGACCAGAGTTCCCACTGCTATGATGTGCTCCTCCTTACAGAGGCAGTCCTGGAGACAATGACCTGGCAGGTACCAGCAGCCATGTTTCACGGTTGAAATCCCCAGCCGCCCTCTGGCCGAAAGTTGCCAAGCAGTTTCTCTGACTGTGAGGTTGTGGTACATTCTGACATACAGCATCAACAGTGGGCATGGGTTCAGCAATTTTGGGAGGGCGGGGACTCGGGAGTCTTTTATTCCTGAGCTGGAATGCTCTGAGTCATGAGGCAAGTTGTCAACCCAGAAAAACCACTGTGCTGAGAAGCTAGCTAACTTCCCAGAAAAACGTATTTATACTCTCGTGATGCTTATTTGGGCATGAGATAAAAGAGATGCTAATATTTATTGGGCCATATTTATTGTCACATTTAACCCTTATTAATTCCCCATACTGGTGAGAATGCTAGTTGGTGACGGTGAGAAATTCTCAAGAAGTCTCTGCAGATTAGTAATGTGAGATTTTGGAGCGCCCTCTGGTGGACGTGAGTGAGGCTAGAGCTGTCCAGAATGGGTCTGGCATCCCTGCAACCTTTTGTCCCTTCTCTAGCGATGCTGAGTGGGCACTGCCACCCTCTCTATTGGTGAGAGTATGATAAAAAGGAAAAGCTGTCCTGTTGCCTCTCCTGCAGTTTTCAGTCTGATATGTCCTGCGGAGAACGATTTAAACTGACTTAGGTTAGTCTGTGAGGTGAAGAGTGAAGAGCTCTCCCAATAATCCTATTGTAAGAAGTCTACTGCCTGAAAAGGCTTTCCCTGTCAACAGTAACGTGCTGGGTATAGCCCATGACGAGACAAAAATCTCAAACATTTTAAATGCAATGTACTTGCTTTTATTTTTTAATGAAAAATCTACTGGAGGAGAGGCATAGATATATCATTTCTTCTTAAGACAAAAAAAAAAAAAAAAAGAAAACCTATTGGTGTGGTGGTTAAGGCTCTGGACACTCCCACATGCCCGATCACGGTTCAAGTCCCAGACCCAGTGGCTGGCTTTCTCACTTCCCTCTCTCTCTCTCTCTCTCTCTCTGTGTGTGTCTCTCTCTGGTCAAATTAAAATAAATGAATGAATAAATAAAAAATTAAAAAAAAAGAAACCCTACTGTATTTGTCATAGAAAGTGCTTTACTTCTAAACTTCCCCTGATGCAAACAATAAAGGAAAAACTGATAGAGCTTAGCCTATATAAAAGAACAGGGCCTTAATGAAAACTCCTTAGAAAGTTGGGGGAATTTGAACGGTTATTAGTCACAGCTTTTTTTTCTTCTGATGCTGGTTTTGGAATACTGCTGACTTTGGTTCTTCTTATTTAGGCAAAGCGTTTGCTCTCATGCTCCACCACATACCAGCTGTACGACCTGGAGCAAGTTGTTTTGCTTTTCTGAGGCTCAATTTCCTTATCTATCACATGAGGGTAATTCTATGTATAGTGCAGAGCTATGGAGCATTCAGGGAGCTGATGGAAATAAACAGTTTCGCAGAGTGCTTGGCACGTGACAAGCGAGGCCTCTTGGGCGGTCCCTCCATTCTGTTACTCCAAGGTAGTACAAAATCACCATGACTGGCACTTTTGCCATCACACTTGTAGGCTATGTCAGCCAACGTGTGACGAGCCGGCCACCCTGATCCTCACTATAGCGCATCTCTATATGGAAGTCTCGCCGCTGCCATGTAGTTGATTACAAAGTCCATCTAATCGGCGAGCTTAACCCTGGGTACCTTGCTTTCGGAAGCCATGACTGCCTTCAGTAACCCCTGTCCGAAGAGAAGAATTGACTCAAAAGACAATCCTCATTTAGAAGTTCTTTAAAAAAACCCCACTGTACTGGGCAAGCTGGTGGCGCGGTGGTCAAGTTGGCTGGATCCCATGTGGCTGACCGCACAGTTCGAGTCCTGAGTGCTGTGGCTTAAGAAACATCCTGGGCACATGGGCCCAAAATCCAGAAGGGAGGGAGTAATGGAGAAGGGACCGCAGCATGAACAAAACCTCAAGTGAGGGTCTCCTCACTTTCCCTCTCTCTCTGTCTCTCTGGTGAGTGCATAAGCCTTCTGACAAAATGATTTTTAAAAACTCGCTCTACTAAATTTTCTGTCTTTCCCCCTCCCATTGCCAAGAGTGTGCTGTGTGCTCACCAGAAACACAGAGAAAGGAAGAGGGAGAAAAGACATTGGAGTGGTGCTCACACACACACACACACACACACACAGACACACACACACACACCTGCATTCTCCATTCTGCCAGGATCCTGAGCTTGTGCACTCACGTGCCCAGCATGTCCTTCGAGTTACCAGGGCTGAGATTTGAACCACAGTCAGTCACATGGGATAGGGTTTCCCTTGACCACTAGGCTATGGGGCTGGCTCAGCTCTACTCAATTTTCAATGTATGGCTCTTTCCCACCTGTCTGTCAATGCAGTTTTGCATCCTTGGTGTCATGCCCAGTGTTTGCCTCATAACAATAGCTCATCAAACTTTTCACAAT